TTTGAGACTCAATGAAGCTGTTAAAGTCATTCTCTGCCCCTGTCCCACCATGAGCTGGAGAGAATTATCTATTCAGTTGAAGCCACTCAGCTGTAGGGGGCAAGGTGAAGTGCCCTGGAAAGATACTGCTTATTGACCCACGATAGGCACTGCTTTGCTTAAGATGCCAATTCCTACCATGATTAGCCACTTAGCAAACATGAGATGAGAGAGTCCCAACAGCACCGACTGCCCTTATGGAGATACAAAGAAGCATAAAAGGCTAGACTTATCTTAGTGTCTGCTCTCTAGTTTATATTTTTTTCCTTCTTATAAAATAAAATTACCAAAAAATATAAATAAGAATAGCAATGGGCAATAAAAGGAATTGGGAACAGAAGAAGAAATGCACTCTGAAATGTGGAAGATAAAACCATTGATTTTTCTAGATAAAAAGCCCTGGGGCAGCAGGGCTTGTCAACAGATAGGTGGTTCTTGACACATACAATGAAAGCATCTAAGCTGAAGCCAGATCTCAGGAACAAGAGTCTTAATGAAGTGCATTTGATGGCTGGATTCCTGGAAGCCTGAGAGATTAAGAAGGGAAGTTGAAGTTGGTATAGCAGGGAATGCACAAGGGCAAGACACACTTCTAAGCCACATCTATGGTGGAGCATATAATAGTTTTTAAAAAGGCAGAGTTGAAAACTTAAGTATCAGTATGAGCCAACCATGAAAGTGAAGAGAGTGGGTTAGAACAGGTGACAAGGTGGGCGGATGGGAGAATCTCTAAAGGGAGAACGGCTCTTCATGAAAACAGGGGGCTGCCAAATGGAAATTGGGAACTTCCTATGCTCGGTACTCAGATTCTTCAGGAAGACGACAAAAAAAAAAAAAACAAAACAAAACAAAAAAAAAACAAAAAAACAAAAAAAACAAAACTAACTTTTACATTTTCAAAATGTGTAATGTTCCAAAACACTAATATTGGTAATGAACTAAGAAACAAACAAAGGGGGAAATAATTATAAACATCTATAGGGATCTAAAAGGGCACCTAAAGGTTAGATATGATCCCCGGGTATGATGCCGTGTGCACAGCTCTTTGTACTTTAGCACCTGGCCAATACGATGCAAGCAGAGCTGCTGAATGTCATGAGCGGATGACCCCGCTGCTCAAGACTGTTGTTTTTAGCATGTATAAGGGCACAGGTTAGATCCCCACACTGCTAAACAAACATCAACAAACCCAGAAATAAAAGAACCCCTACACCTGTTACTGCAACATAGACCATTGAAAACAAGCTTGTCTTAGGTTAAGCCTCAACCTGTTTGTTTTTCCAAAGCATTGAACGTTGAGACTTCGGATCATCCCTTCAATAAACACAGACAGAAGGCCTAATCGCTATGCAGGGCCCCATGCAAAATCATTAACTCCCGAGGCTCCTGAGAGAGAATTTTAAGAGCTGACTAAAATGAGAAGGGAAGGAACAAACTCATCTGGAAAAAAAAAAAATCAATTTTCTGCTACTTTTTGGCTTTCTTCCCATGTGGTCACAATGTAACCTTCAGGTATACAATGCAGGGGACTCTCTGCAACAGATTTTCTCTCTCCTGCCTTCCCTCACTAAGTTCTCTCTCATTTCCTATTACCCGTGAACTCACAATCCTCTTGTTTCAGCTCTGCTAGAGCTGTATTGTTGGTAAGCATATGCATCGTGCTCCTTTGTTAGTTTATTAATTGTTCATTACGTGTGTGTGTGTGTGTGTGTGTGTGTGTGTGTGTGTGTGTGTGTGTGTGCGTGGGGTGGATTGGGGCTGGGGAGATGGCACCATAGGTAAATGAACAACTTTGTGGAGTTGGTTTTCTCCTTCAACCTTCATATGGGTTCTGGGGATAAATGCAGGTCATCAGGCTTCATGATAAGCACTTTCACTGGGTGAGTGAGGTCATCAGCAGGGCACTATACTCCTTACAGCTCCTTTCCAGAACTGGCCATTTTATGTTCTTTAAAAGTATAAACTATTAAGTCCTAAGGATAAAAACCAAACATACATTCTAAGTCAGTAGAACTGAAAAGTCTGGCCTAGAACAAAAAGTGAAGATATGCCATTGGTTAAAATCACTTGGGCTAATTCTGACCGATCTTTTAAAATATTTGAGCAAAGATCAGTTGGTCAGAGACACTGAGACTAGTATAACAAATAGTTATTGTAGTTTTGAGCCCAAGTTTAGCTAAAAACAACAAAATGCTTACAGTGTCCAGGTGACTTAGGAATGGACAGGATTGAGAATAAAGTACAGAATTTTTATCTGGGGGACTGATAGCTTATATATTTATCATAAAACATTATTAATGAACTTGTATGTGGCTGGATATAGGCCATGGACACAAAAAAACGGGAAGAGTTTGCTTCTAGTTCTATATAATTCATAGCCTAGAACAGTAGTTCTCAACAGTCCTAATGCTGTGACCTTTTAGTACAGTTCATCATATTGTGGTGACTACAACCATAAATTATTTTCACTGCCACTCCAAAACTGTAATTTTGCTACTGCTATGAATTGTAACTGTTTTCTGATGGTCTTTGGCAACCCCTCCCACACACGCAAAGGGTCCACACCCATAGGTTGAGAACCACAGAACTAGAAGGAGGTTTGTAATATTTTGGGGGCAATATCTGTCTCTGTGCTGGGAACTAAGCTTCTCTTGATGAGCTATACCCAGACTCAGTTAAATTCACTGTCCCAAATTTCAATCATTTCCATGCCTATCCTCTTCAAAAATCTTGGCCATATTCACTTAACATTTTTGCTTAAAATAATTCAAGTTTTATTTGCTGTATTTACTTTCAACTGTGATATTGTCATAATAAGGAAAACAACCCTACTATCCCGACACAGAAGATGACATTGAAATAGATACACTAGGGTCCATAAAAATGTCATATAAGCATGGTGCCACAGGTCTGTGGTCTCAGCACATGGAATGTGGAAGCCGAAGGATTGGGAATTCAAAGGCAGACTTGGCTTCGTTGCTGATTCAAGGCCAGAAGGAGATACAAGCGAGGCCCTGCCCCACCTCCCACTTCCAAAACATCGTCTAAGTGCAAGCCAAAAGCATCTCATTATTCTCATCTCACAGACCAGGAAACAGGGGCTTAGAATTTACATGACTCTCCAAGATCGACCTGGGAGTTACAGAGTTGACTTAAAGCTCTACTACTTTAGCCACACCTTTAACTGCCCTGTGTGACTGGGTGTCATTGTGAATGCCCTGAGATTCAAAATGTAAACATCTTTGAAATGGAACATAGGAAAAGTGAAGTGAATGTGGTTGATCCGATACATGCCACAGACAGCATGCCCACAAAAGCCTGTTCAAAGGGACAAGGTAGCTAGCTGAGGGGTCCTACCCTGCTTTCTCCCAGTGACTTTCTACCACTTGCATCTTGAGTCTTTTTTAAAAAACAGGAATCCTTGCAATGTTAAGGAAGTACTTGTGTCTTGCCAAAGGCTAGGGTTTCATCAATCCAAAAATCCCTACATGTGTTTTTCTGGAAGGAAACTGAATTCTAAGCCAAGTAGATTGAGTGTGAAAAGATGGTCCATGCTTGGTCCTGCCTGGTGCAAAGAACTGCTGTCAGACATCAGTTCCATGCTTCACCAGAAGTCTATCTTTGACTATTCAGTTTAACTCCAGAACCGCCTGGTTGGACACAATGACATGTCTTGGCTCACCACCCTGAATTAGGGTATCGTGTACCTTCAGCATTTGGTACAGAGCCCCATCTCTGAGGGAACATTCATTTATACTAACTCTATGTAAATCTTCCCAGGGCAGTGAAGGTCTCTTGAATCTTTAACTGTACAAGAAGCTCCTCGAGGTGAAACTGTATTCTCTGGTTCATTATATTAACTAAAAAGAATATTGGCTTTGTCAAAGAGACACATCCCCCCATCACGGACCTGAAACCTCATCATCACTTTCAAAATGGGAGTGGCTGTCTTTATGCCAGAACACTTGGGTATAAGCTTTCCCAGATCCTTTGTTGTATTTCCAGACAAGGTTTCTCTTTGTAGCCCCTGGCTGTCCTGGAACTCACTCTGTAGGCCAGGCTGGCCTCGAACTAACTCAGAGATCTGCCTGTCTCTGACTCCCAAGTGCTGGGATTAAAGGCACGTGCCACCACTGACTGGCATCTTCCTAAGCCTTCAATGCATACTCATGTGTGTATGTGTGCAGGGTCACTTTCACAAATCAGCTTCTACAACATGGCTGCATCTCACCATCTCGGATGTATGGGTGTCATTCACTTTTGCAAACTAAACCCCTACTGGGAGATTTTTTTCCTATATTTACCTGTTTCTGCTTGAAGTAGTATTATAATAACTTTCCTCATGTGCCTTCATGAACCTGTCTGAAAGCTTGCCTGGTGAGGCTCTTTGCTCTGGGAAATCCCAACATGGCTCTGGGTCACTTTTTCCCCTGCCCGATGTTCAATTATCTGTCACATAATCATCCCACAATGTTTTATACAGTTCTTGAGGGTCGAAACCTGCTTACTCACTGCTAGATACAAATTAGCTCAGGCAAAGATGCACAGTTAATAAAACCAAATGCCAAGCACCAGAGGTAACCATGAAAGAGGTGTAATTCCTGCACTGAGCAGCAGGGGAGGAGAGGTAGGTTCACCAGGGAGGCGTGGTGCATTGAGTGTGTGGAGGGATAAAGAAACTATGGAAACAGGCCTAAGGGAACAATGACTTCTCTAGGGGACAAAAAAGAAGCTCAAAAGAACATTAGCTGAAGTTCTCTAGGAGAGCAAGTAATAGAGGAGATTCATGGGCAGAAGCCAATAAGTTTAAATATATAGATATTTAAGGGCTTGCATTAAATAAATGGAAAGCTACTATGTACTTCACGATAATCAAACACAGGCATTTTGAATATGGAGGTTTAAGGAACCAGCTCTTGGTCTGTCAACAGCAGCAGCAGCAGAGAATGCTCAAGTCTTACTCCATCATGGAAGGCGGGATTGTGCAGCAGTCCTGGATGGCGGTCAGTGGGGATGTCAGGTGAGCTGTGTACGATGCTTCTACAACTTGCTTGTTCCGATTGACCACGTCCAGGTAACGGTTGAACTTCTCACGGATTTTTTTGGCTAGCTGTGGATGACAGTGAGCAAAATAAATCACCCATTTATTTCACCTTTCCCAATAAGCTAATTAATTTGCACAATAAGCTAATTAATTTGCATCACTAAGATTTGGATAACACAAAAACTGCACCCACATCATCTTTACTTGGTGGGCTGGACAAACATTGGAGAACACATGTGCATCACGGTAGGGAATTCAGACAGTGATAAAGTGTTATTTTTCTGTCTATAAGAGAGGGAGCTGTATTTCCAACCTCTTATGTGTCCACATTCAATGGAACGATGCATATCCACAAGTGCCCTGCTGGAAAAAAAATGGAAACGAGGACTTCAGATATTATTACTGCCATCGTGACAGAACACACCATGGCTAAGAGAGCAAATAATGATAGGAGAAAGAGCGAGAGACTTTCTGATTCTGGAGTCACAGAGATGGGATCAGAGTGCTGGAAGGAAGTGACACTCAGTGCCTTCTGTACAGATCTTGGGGACATCATTCACTATCTTCCAGGTGAACAGCAATTCTCTAGGGAGGTACAATGTAGACATTCATATGAGGCAAAATATGTAATTAGAAATACACGTGGGTGTGACCCTTTACATCATTAAGGTGGACTAAAGCTTAACCGATATGAAGAGCACTGTATCTCGATTTATGTTCATGCAGGGATACGGAAAGCAAATTGGTACATATACTGCTTTTCCCTCCATTGTTCCTGTCAAATACCACAGCTTAATTATAGATCTCCAAGGAAAACAGTGTTGTTTGTCTTCCCCTTCAACAAAATGTTACCCAAACGAGATGACTGATAGAATTATGGCTAATTGGTTTTGCAGAGCTATTCATTAACAGCACGCTAGAGGAGAACTAATCATCTCCTTTGGGTCATGCACTTCATACAATCTAGTAGCCTACAGGCAGGAACATGGAGGCAATCGGAATTTCTTCATTTGTTTTTAAGACAATGTTTGTTTTGATATGCTCAAAGAACTGAAGTCTGTAAAGTTTCCTTAAGATTACACTAATAAAGCTTGGAGTTTTTTTCTGGACATAGAAAAGAATATGAAAGTAATTTGAATTGGGTGATTCTCTTTGCAAGATAGGAGCTATATGGCTGGAAATTCCCACATCTACCTACAATTCTACTTCCTGAGCTAGAACGCCAACTGTACCAAATGTGGATTTTTCTCTGCAAAGGTCATTGAGGCAATACGTACAGTACATTTGAATTTCACACCTCAAGTTAGACCAGTAATTATGTTGTCCCATGTGGCAATGTTTAGAGACAATTTTGGTTGTGATAACTTGGTAGAAACCGCTATCAAGGAACCAGAAATGAACCTTAAAAATTCTATAATGTGTAGGATAGTTTCCCATAACCACAAATTATCTAGCTCCCAAATTTACTCCTAGAAATTACCAACCTTATTTTGTTGTTGTTGTTTAGTAAACAACAACTTCTCTAACAATACAGTCTACCTATTTATCTATCAGTAAATACTCAGGGTGCCAAGATCAAACTCAGCTGCATGATAGTTCAAAGGTTCAGAGGGTTTTTTTTTTTTTTTTTGGTCCATGGTAACTAGGCAAGAACATCATGGTGGAGGAATGTGTGGTGGGGGAGAGTTTCACCTCAGGATAGAAAGGAAGCAGACACTTTGTTATAGGTCAGGAACTCAACACATCCCTAGATGCAACCATGTTCCTAGAGCCCTCCTCTCCACTACTGGAATCTGAATGATCTTATGATGGCTCCCATCAGTATAGCCTACAGGAAGACACCATGTAACTTTCAAGACTGAGTTACAAAAGATCATATGGCTTCTACCTGCTCACCCTTCATGATGGCTCCCAGCTACCATTCTATAAAAGGGTATAGGCACACACACACACACACACACACACACACACACACACACACACAGAGAGAGAGAGAGAGAGAGAGAGAGAGAGAGAGAGAGAGAGAGAGAGAAAGAGAGAGAGAGAGAGAGGCCATATATTATGTGCTTAGTTGTCAGCCTAATCAAGGGCTTGAGCATTTCCTGGAGTAAACCTATCTGGACACAAGTCAAGAAGTCTCTAAAAGGGCTGGAGAGATGGCTTGGTGGTTAAGAGCACTGCTGTTGCTGAGGACCTGAGTTTAATTCCCAGCATCTACATGGTAGCTGTCACCATCTGTAACTCCAGTTCTAAGGGATCAGACATCTCAGTGAACTCTGAGGGCACTAGACAACCATTCGGTACACATAATACATGTTGGCAGAATACTCACATACATAAATAAATCTTACAAAAGAAGAAGCCTCTAGAGAACTGCAGCCCCCAGAAGCTGCCCTGATGTTCACACAGCATCACAGTACACAGATAGGCCATCCTTGCAGGGCCTGGTCCAAACACTTTACCTATCCACTCCATAAGCATAAACACATAGGTTTGTGCCATTAAGGTATAGATAACCCCCCACCCCCAACAATAGTTAAACGAGACATGTAAGGACAGGCTGAACCCCATCCTAAGGCAAGCATGTTGAAGGCAAGCTACATACCATAAAGCTGCACAAATACAGTTGCTGCATCTGAATAACCAACATTTTAACTTGTAGACTGCAAACCTATTGCAGAGAGATATCAGGGGTTCATCAGAAAATTCTAACAGCTGCCATATGAAGGAATTTGCCAGACACAGTGTAGACATTCTTGTTTCATGTCAACAAGGTTAAGTGGTTAGCATGGAGCCATGGAACAATGGAAAGATCTACTTGTTCTAATCCAAAACTATCTTGCCTGTAAAATGTGTTCACCTGCTCAGACAAGGCAAACTTAAAGGAGCTACAAATGTAACCTGAAAGGGTGATTAGGCAAACCTCATGGGTGAAACATCTTCTGAGCATAAGCACCCAAGGTACAGAACAGAATCATAGAAAGTACTCAATCTGTATTGGCTGCTAAACTCATTGTTTCTGGCTGATAAGACTTTGGGGAATGCCTGCCTTTGGCTGCCTGGTAAGGGTCAGCCTCAACCTAGAGCCTGACACATGCTAAGTTAACAGGAGGTACACCCCAGTCCCCAAGCTGCATCCCTTGACAGTGGACACAGCACCTACATACAGAATCCAGCTACCCATGACAGTTAAGAGAACTCAACCCCATGTTTTCCTGTCTCCATAGCAGCTTCCCCGTCTTTCACCTGACACCCTACCTTAATTCATTAGAAAGAAAAAAAAAACAAGAAAGACAGAAAGAAAGGAAAGAAAAGAAGGATGGAAGAGAGAAAGGAAGGAACGAAGAAAGGAAGGAAGGGGGGAGGAAGGAAGGAAAAAATAAAGAAAGAAAGAAAGAGAAAATGCCAGCATTTTCAGATAGTTTCTTCACTAAGCATTTCACATGTGTATACCAATTTAATGCTTTTTAAATCCCTTTAGTTGGGTGAGGAGCTCCATGACTGTAATTCCAGGTACTCAAGGCTGCAGTTAGGGATCAAGGACTCCTTGAACCCGGTTTAAAAAAAAACAGACAAACAAAAACAGAACAAAAAACCCTATGGGGTACAGAAGCCTTTATTTCCTAGAGAGACACCCTGAAGATGAAGTTACCTTTTCAAGGGCACAAGGTGGCAGGAACTCAATAATCCTCAGAGCCCAAGCTTCTAACTTCTATGCAACACTTTCCTTGGCAATTTACCATGCAACCTCCCCACTCTACAGACATCTTTTCTTTTCCTAGGGGAGAGGGTCTATTGTAACACAGGCTGGCCAGGAAAACACTATGTAGCTGAGGGTGACTTTGAACTTCTGATCATTCTACCTCCACCTCCAGAATGCTGGGAGATGGTACAGGCATTCAACACCACATCTGGTTTATAGAGTGTTGGGGAATGAACCTAAGACTTCCTATATGCTAGGCAAGTAGTCTACCAATTAAGCTATGAGGCCAGCAACCCCAGTTTATTTTAAAATCCACTGTAACATGAGATTCTTAGCAGGACAGCATACACTATGCAACCTCTTAATTTATAATAAGAATTAGGATTTTTACGAATATAATTTCATTCAGAATTCTTCATAATTCCTGTGAAAATACCTACACTAAAAAGGATAGGGCTAAATATGCCATAATATAGTACCTCCCCAAACAAAACCCCACAATCCCTTGCTAACATTATCCAACTATGTTAATTGTGGTATAAGTGGCATCAGACTAAATTATAACTGTCCCAATAACTTAGGCATCTTTAGACATTCACTGTTATAACCTGGTCAGAGAAAACAGGACAAACTGCTCCTTTCATTTAGGAAACAAGTTTCAGAATTTAATATTTTGCTTTTTTTTTTTTTTTACCTTAACAAACTTCACTATAATAATCTATGGTATAAGAGAATAGCAGTTATCACTTTCTAGCTGGAGAAATGGAGGCAGAGGACACTCAAAGTGCTGTACTGTAGCCCAGTTCTGTGAAGGGCTCTGTGTATCTCCCACCAAGAAATGTACTGGAGGCTCACTATGGAAACCTCAACTAATAATCCACTTTTTCCCTTCCTAAAAACAATCTCTCTCAACGTGCTAGCCAAACCCAGGTTGCTGGGCAGGCATCACAGAACTTCTGAGAGTAAAGACAGGCCACAGTGAGAGTAATGTATCTGTTAAATCGAAGGGGGAAAGAACTACCATAGACCCTTCCAAGAGGCCACACAGACACTGGGCTGCATCCCGCCATGATCTCTGCAGACAGGCGAAAACAAAGGACATTCTCAACAAAAAGCTACAGGTGGACCCACAATCCTCCTCAGCATAATTAAAAACATTTTTCTTTCCACGGCTCAGCTTTCATCTTTTATCCTCCTTTATCCTCTCTCCTTTATCCCCTAAGGGGCTCCTGAATGCTGATGAGACAACGGGACTAAAACCATCTTGTCATCTTTTGGGTCAATTCTTAGGCTAGCCAACATCCAGCCATGGGTCAAATGATCAGCAGGGTAGTGTGTGGTCCCCATGGGAACCGACTCTAAT